TGACCCGCGTGAAAAGCCTCTGGAGCAGAGCGCCATAGTTTGATGGCGCCGATGCAATCGTTGGCAACAGACGCTTCAATTGGTTGACAAGAATAGACCAGCACGTGAAAGGATTTTTCCCATTACAACTTCACGCCGATTTTTGTATTTCAGAAATGGGCATAACCGCTGGATTTTGTACCCTGAAGGCTCAATTTATTCCTCCGGACTTTCCCTTCGAGAGTGCTCGTTTTGACTCGGTTCAAAGAAGGTGAGATTTTATGGCGGAAGACTCAGAAGCGAATTCAAAGGAATTGAACAATGGCTTAATTAAGCTGCCCAGGGCCGCGAAGTTTTAAAGGTATCCTTTTGTTCTAAGTGTGTCAATAAAACTGCAGAGAATTATCGCACATATTGCGGTAGATGTTTATGGATTTAAGTCTTTCGCAAAACTTCTTCGACTTGGACACGTATTTTTCAAAAAGGAGAATTTTGAGAGCTTCAAAAAGAGATCTTGAACGAGAAATTTCGACCACTGTGGGCCGAGATTGGATTTTTTTTCTTGCCGAGGGTTCGAAGTACAAAGCAAGCCGCTGAAGCATTTTTTCTCGCCTATCGCTTAATAAAATCCCGGCCGAGAGTTATCCATTCATTCAATCATAACGGTTATTCATTTCTCCAGCGCAATGAAACTATACAAGCGTTTCTACAAAATTATTTCGAGGAATTATGAACTCCGCAAGTTTTGATCTGTCGATTACAGCTCTTGTTTTGATTTTACATATTTCCCATCTCACTTACCCTGGTCCCAGAGGTTTTTCATGATTTTTCTTCGCGAAAGAGATCAAGAGCAAGCCGTGAAGCGGCGACAACGAGTCGCGAAAGCGACGAGGAGAAAGCGAAAAACCTCTGGTTACCTTGGCCTCGAATCTCACTTTCATGCAGACAACAGCTGTCAAACGCGTCTAATTGCTAATAAAAAGAGTGACCAATGGCAATTTAGCAAACACGTGCTTATCAGCCGCTATTTTTTTAACCGGGGGTAGACCTGGGGAAATTATGTTATGAACAAACCATCTCCATTTGGGTGCTAAAGAGTGATTTGTTAATCGGGGTCAAGCTAAAGCATGTGTTAACAATGGGCGACAAGAGTCCAGGAATTAGAACACCACTTTATAAAGAAACCAACATTGTTCCAAACGACTGCTGCAGTATTTGCAGAATTTATGTAAAAATAAATTGCCTATCTATTATAAAATCAACGTTTTTGGGAATAATAACAAGGATTTTTCACAAACATTGTCATCTGTTCTGTTCTGTTCTGTTGACCCAATGCCAAAAATAACGTTGGTTAGATCTTTATGTTAAATATTGGGCGTCGCAGGAAAATGCAAGCTGCACCGAAAATGATTACCTACTTGTACAAAGTTGTATGTTTTCTTTCCTACAAGAAAACTTTCATTCCGTATTCGGAGATTTATATTTTGCTGCCCTAAACAAGTCAGTTTATTTAATGGAATGACAGTATTGTAACAGAAAATGGTAAATACATCGAGTCACGAGATTCTGGTCGTCAACGTCTGTACTGCTTAAACTGGTTGCTGAGACGCCACGGGTTCGCAGTTCGCGGATATGCGAGTCCACAAGAGACTTGAGAGGACAGACAACCAAAATTATTGCATGGCGAGGGTATGAGTATCCTCTTAAGGAAAGGTATTTGCAAACAGCTGGAATAACAACTGAAATATTATACACTTTCCATGTCCGGCTGATAAAATGGTGAACACATCCTTTCGACTCAAGGCGGCGAACAAAGCTTTCTTTTTTTGCTCAGTGAGACTCAGGAAAGCGCTCATCAAGTACCGAGGTCAAAATTTCTTCGAATATTCTTTCAGGAACAACATCCAAGTCAAAATCTCGAAACAAGGCGTGCCTTTACGTGCCTTGGTCCCGTGCAGATGTTATTGCGAGTGCAGTATACAAACAATTTTCTTCCCTGGTAGAGAGAGGCAAAATTTACCTTCAGAAATGAGGTGTGAAAATCCTCAGCGTCCCCTCGGTAGTTACAGTTAAACAAGCCAATCAAATTGGTTTGCGTGTTTGAAAAAATATCAACCAATCAACGCCCGAGGGTCAGATCCTGACCCTGTCGTCTGCATGAAAGTGAGATTCGAGGCCAAGGTAACCAGAGGTTTTTCGCTCTCTCCTCGTCGCTTTCGCGACTCGTTGTCGCCGCTTCGCGGCTTGCTCTTGATCTCTTTCGCGAAGAAAAATCAAGAAAAACCTCTGGGACCAGGGTACATCTCACTCGACTAGTCCGCGAATCAAGTTGTCATGCAAATCGGTGAACGGACAATACGCGGTTATTTCGGGCCCTGCAGTCACGTAACTGAAACACAAGGTTTTGTTCAACAAAAAAAAAACTGAAAGGCAAGCGAAAACGTCCAAAAAAGTGAAATTACACTCTAATAAAACTGTGTCATCCCGTTAAATGAATTCACCGCTTGCGCTGTTTACATTTTGAAAAGAGTTGTTCGCTCTTGATTGCTGAGCTACAGGGGCACCCAACGAGAATATAGTTCAAAACCACTTAAACATAGAATTGTTTAACGTATTTTAGTATTTAAACGGTAGATATAGGCATATTTTTATCCCCTAAAAATTTTTCATCTGTTCGGATTTCCTAGCTGAAAGTCAAGTGATCCGAAAATTATAGGGATCAAAACTTACCTTTTCGAAAATTTTAGCCAGAAAAAAGGCTCCCGAAAATTCTAGGTGACCTTTTTAGGGCAAAAATCCGTTAAAAATAGGCAATTGTACCATTTTTAGATGTCTGAAAATCCTAGGAGATGCAGGCAAGCAAGAAATTTTACAACAAATGTTCCGAAAATTCTAGATCTCAAATCGTCTTCCGAACAGATATTTTTCCGAAAATTGTCGTTGGGTGCCCCTGGAGCTACCGAATGAATAAAACGTTCTAAGAAATAACTTCCGCAGCAATTCTTTAAACGCCAAATTATTTTCAAGGCAAGAGAGTATTTAATAAAAAAAATACTATTGGAGACCAGGTATTTATAAGCTTTAATCAACTTCACATTTATCAGGCTTGTTTCCTTTGTAATACGGTGCGTGACCGAAAATATGTTATGCAACCAGAGCTGTCCGCCACGCTTAAAAGACTTGTAAGCGTTCCCACAGACTGCAGCAAATTTAACAGGCAAGTCCGAGTATTTTAATGGATAAATTTAATACTCATCAGGTAACAATGGGGATTAAAAAGTCAATCAAGCAACAAAATTCGAAACAAAAGAGACATATCGCACCTAAATCAAAGGAATTCCGCTCGTGGATTCTTCGGAAGGTAATCGACAATGGCAGGAACAATAGCCTGAATATATGAATACTTGATGACCCCAAAATTTGGGGTACACACTTAAATCGGCGTGAAGTTGTAATGCAACTGTGCTGGTGACACCAGCATACTGTATTTCGTAGACTGGACTGGACTGCACTGGACTTGTAAAACGTGGACTAGTAAAACGTGCTAAAACGAGGACTAGTGAATCATTTCTCTCATTAGCTGATAGTTAGTAGGTTTTTAACTATATTATATTGTTAGGCTTTTTTTTTTAATAGTTTACTAGAAAATAGTTGGTACAATACTAATTGTGTCCCCAATTAGTAGAGGGGTCCTTAACCCCATCGGCTAGATATTCCAAGACACATTAATAAAGTTTTATGTATGTTTTATGTATGTAGTAAAACGCGGACTAGTAAAAGGCGGAATCTATCTCTCTATCTCTATATAGAGAGAAAACCGTTTACATATTCCATAAAACGGCCATAAATCGGCCCGTGGACCACACAGGAGAGACGTAACACACATTTTAAGTAAGGTAAGCTGTTTTTTATTGAAATCCTTTCATTTTCGTAGGTTACGGAAACGATAGGTTTTTTTCCCATACAAATCCTTATATTTTCAATGTTACGCAACAATGCCGATGCTCGCCGATGTTCGAGCTTGGGCTAACTGCGCTTTAATCTAGGCCGCATCACTGCAAAGAATGATGTCTTGGCGCGCTGCCGTGCGCTTGCTAAACGTTTGATCTGCTGCTTGACTTTCAAGTGATTTAATCTCGCGCTGAAGCTCGTTGACTTTCATTTTGTGCTCAGGGTGTTTATCTTTTATTTTTTGAACAAGGAGGACTGCGGCGGCATGTTGTCTTCGTATGGCCTGTTGCACGACAATAGTGACCTTAAGTACTGGACTGGACCTATGGAAGGCCAAATGGTGCAAAATTCAAGAATTCAAATTCGATCACATTCAAGGATAACGATCACATTCAACGATCACATTCGCATTCAAGGCATAAAAATTAATCAAATTCAACAGGCATCTCGATCATATTCAAGGTCATACATCACATTCAACATGAACATTCCAGACATTCACATTCAACACATCGAAAATTAATCAAGTTCAACAAGCATCTCGATCACATTCAAAGTCACGCATTATATTCAACAAACTATGGAAGCCAAATGCTTCATAATTTAAGAATTCAAATTTGATCATTCAACAGTCACCTTAAAAGTCAACAAATCCCAACATGCTTTGCGCTATTGACTATGTAGCCCCGAGTACATGCTGGGAGATATAATTTGCGAGTGAACTCAAAATGGCGGGAGTGCCGGGTAGAGAGTCCATTCGCAACGAGGTTCGCGCTTGCATTCGTGAGGAACTAAACAATTCTCAAGGAACTCATACGCTTGTTAATAGAACACGCAACTTAATCCGCGAATGAGCATCTTTTGCCGCGTGGAACTTGTCCGCTAGTGGAAGTGTTCAACCTTTGCCTCAGAATCAAAATTCCAAGTCGAAGAGACCCTTGCCAGGTCATCCCTTAAGGTTTGGATCAAAAAAATTGAAGACGGCGACTCCCGAATCTATTCCAAAAAGTGTATACTTATTGGATGAGCCAGACGTTGAAGATGACGAGGAATACAGCTTGACGGAGTCGATGATTATCTTGAAGGGAGAGTGCGATCTTTATTGCGATGCCAATGAAAATGGCATACGATCAGAATTGGTTAACTTATTTAAAACAAAACTTCCATTCATAACAAATGGCGATTTTGACTTTGTCAGACGTGATAGGAATATTATCTCTAGTCTTGTAGTAAAGAAGGAACATGTGTGGGATTTCAAACATGTAAAACATCTTTGCGGAACTGGACGCTTGTATATCAGACTCAATGTATCCAAAGACACACTAGTCGTGGATGAGGAAGGTAGTATCACCGAGACACCAGCTCCTGCTCCAAGTACAAGTTTGCCTTCGACCAGTGCTGAGGCTGGACCTAGTGGGTTACATGCTTTTAGTGGCTTTGGGGATCTCTCTGCAATCTCCCAGAACACTACATCAGATGCTGGCCTTGGTACTGTTTGTAGTGATGACGACGAGAATGAATTAAGACCTTCAGGGGCAATCAATTCACCACTTATAGATCAACAGAAAGTGGATAACCTTGCTTCAATCTTTCCCAGGATTCCGAGAGATGTAATTGAAAGTGCTGTAATGACCTGTGGCAGTTTGAACTCTGCTGTAAATGTTCTTTTACAGTACAATGCAGTACGCAATGACCCTGTTGCTATTATTGATGACGACCACACTCCAGAGATCTCAAGTGGACCAGAAACTCTTCCTCACATGCTGCAACGTTTAAGGTCAAAGATGCAACCAAGGGGAACTCGTGAAAAGATCAAGGTTGATCAAGATGATCTAGTAATGGATGTTTATAGCTTCTACAAAAGTCCTGACTTTGACCCTACAGTTCCTGTTTTTGTGTTACTAAAGGGTCAGCCAGCTATAGACAGTGGTGGCGTATTACAGCAGGTATTTAGTGATGTTTTTTATGCCATGGCAAACAATGAAGGAATTAAGAATGTTTTTAATGGAGATAAAAACAGCAAAGTACCTGCATTCAGCAATGAACTAGTTGTGAATGGACTGTTTGAAGTGTTGGGTAAAATGATAGCTCACAGCCTCATCCAGTCAGGTCCAGGATTCCCATACCTGTCTCCTACCATTTACTGGTATCTGGCATTTGGTGATCTACAGATTGCCATCCAGAAGGCCACATGCTCAGATGTGGATGACATTGAACTTGCCGAGTACATCAAGAGGGTAAGTTTATTGTTTGTTCTATACAGTGAAACCTGTATTAAGTGGACACCTGCAGGACCTTTGCTGGAGTCTGCTTAATGAAAGGTTGTACAGAAAACATGTGAAGAAACCTTTGAAAAAAAAAACAAATAGACAAACCATTCATCTGCTTAATACAGGTTTCACTACGCTTTGGTTCAGTTTTGTTCCTGGTTTAAATTTTTGGTTCTCTTAATTTGTGTTGACTGCCACACATTTACATACAATGGCAGTAGACAATACTAATAGTAAGGGACATTTGAAATTATCATTGATAACCATATCCTATACTTGCAGGTCACAGAAGCACCAGCTGATGAGCTTAATGTGATTGCCTTTGAATCTGGCTTTATCAGATTGTTATCTGAAGCTGGAGAGAGTAGAATACTTACAGTAAGTAGAACCCTAATTTATTATGTAGTAACTAGTTAGATAGGGCACATTTAGTTAACACTACATGGTTTAAATAGAGGCAAAGAAATTTATATTTTGCAGTTTGGAGGTCCGTTAAATTGTTGGTTAACTGTGAAAAGAAGTAGTTTTGTTAAAACATAGAAAAAAGCTGATCAATTACTGGTAGTCAAGCAGTGTGCCCTGCACCATGCTTGTCACCAATAATTCAAGCAACAGGTTACAATAATTTATTATTGTAACCTGTTGCTGTAAATAATTGACAGTAATAAAACAATTAAATAATGTATTCTTGCAGGCTGATAACAAACTCAATGTCCTCCAGTCTCTCATGCTTCACAACATTCTAGTGAAGAAGAAGGCAATTCTTGATCAATTTAGAAAGGGGCTGTCAATCCTTGGTTTGTTAGATGAAATACAAAGAAAGCCAGAGATGTTTGAAGAATGCTTTGTCTACCAAGGCATAGTAAGTAATGATTCTGTGGCCAGAAGCCTTCATTTCCCAGCCTCTGAGGACAAGAATGCTCAAAGGGTATTCCAGTTGCTCCAGACATTCATCAAGAATTGTAATGCAGATGGCCTCGATGATTGCCTGAGGTTCGTCACTGGTACAAGGTGCTCAGCAAAAACCTTCCTTCCACGACGTATAACGGTCTCTTGTGAGAATACAAACAGCATTTTTGCATCAACTTGCTTGCTGGAGCTAAAGCTTCCAAACCATTTCAGAAATTATGCTGAGTTTGAGGCGGCAATGCATTCGGTGATTGGTGGAAACACATTCACAACAGGATGAAATGGCAGAGTGCAAGTAATGAGTAGTCACAAATGTACTGTCTGTACTTTGAAATTAGCCAATGTTGTTGTAAAAAAAATCCAAAGTTCAAATTGTTAGTTTGATAGGTGGTATACATAAAAGTTAGTCAATACAGTTCAAAGGTGACAACATTTCAGGGCATGCTGCAGTACTGTCAGTTTCAGCATACATGTTTGGTGTGTTAAGTGTCACTATCACCTTAAGGTTTGAACTTAAGCAAAAAAGCTGTAACTCTGTATGACAAAGCTACTTTGGACTGAAAGAAAAGGAAAAAAACATAGCCTGAAAAGTTATGTTGTGCACTTAGCCCTTCATTATTCAGTGACAATGTAAGAACCTTTTTTAGTAAGTGTAACACAAAGCGGCCAGTAGACCTTTTTACCAATACAGTGACCAAGTGGAATAACTTAGTTTCAGAGGCTGTTACATGATGCCTAGAGGGCACACAACAAGTGTCTGTTTTTTCTCAAGAATGCATCTTTTTTGCTGTATTCAAAAAGGATTCTAAAGGCAATCTTTGTGTCTATTTGGGTACTGCCTGTTTCCTGAAAAACAAGAGTTATGGTAGATTAACATCTACTTTCCAATAGACAGACAATCATTTTTACACCCAAACATGGCACAAAATTGAATTTTCTCATTGGAATCCTATTTCAAAGAAAATTTCGAGGAATTTGTCAAGAAATTAGCATGTTTTCAGAAAATTAAAGCACCTGTGCATCCTTTTTATCTCATAACAGTCCTTAAAATTTAACTATTCAATTTGGCTGCCATAATGGTAAAAATTGTTTAGTGGTGAATTGAAATAACATCACTTTCAGGGATGCTATTGTGTCAACAACTTTATAGCATCGTGTCTAATGGACATTTTTATTACATTGCAAATCTCTCTTTCTAAGAGCCTTTTTTTACTTGATGTTGTTGTTGTTGTTGCTGTTGGAGAGGAAGATGAGGGGGTGAAGATTAAAACAAAGTTGTCCCTCTTGTACAGGTTGACCTGTTTTTAGTAAGGACATCCTCTCTTCCTGTAAACAGGCCCAAAGTGGGTGCCAAACATTTATATGTGCATTGTACTCTGTCATACTTGACATGCCATAACTTAAAATAGAATTATTAATACAAGACAATGTAATGCAGTAAAGTCACCATTATTGTCTTAACATTTATAATAATGCCTTTATTTTGGCAAGATACAGTGTTGGGAGTTCAATATTTTAGATGCATTACTGTTTAGTTCCTGTCTAGTCCCATTGAGTAAATGAAAATAAAATATGTTAATCATTTCACTCCGTGAGTGACAGAAGGTGGCTCTAACATTTTGAGTTTGTGGATGAAATCATGTGATGTGACCATTATTATCTTAAGCAGTATTTTGACATAAGACTATCTGTTCTCCAGCATAATTATACAAAACGAATTTGGAATTTTTGTCAAATACTGCCTCCTGCCATTTCTGGGGGCGAAATGATTAAAATAACAAATGATATACAAATAATAATTATTTGCAATAATTATTATTACTGAAATAATATTTTAATGTAGTTCAAGTTGAAGTTTGGTGAGAAAGGCAACTGATTGTTTTAGATACATAGTGCTTTGTTCCTGTTCAATCCCAAATGTTAAATGTCACTTGATATTAAGAGAAAAAAAAGCTCTATTAAACTAAAAGTTTAAATACTTTACAAGAGATTACATAATGCACTTTTAACTTTTGTGTCTCTGGCACTGAGACTGGATCCTTTGATCTCATGATAAAACGAGTGTCAAGCCCTGGCATTTGAAACTTCTTTGACATCCAGTTTCTTTTAACAGTGAAACAAATTCTGGCTACATCTTGACTGCCAAAGTTACCCCAAACTAGTTAGATTTACAAAATTGCGACTCTACGGGATTACTCAGGCCAAACCCCTAGATATTTTGAAGAAGGTAATTTAGAAATTGCTTCATTCTTTCAAACATAAATAAGCACACCAATGCCTTGACCACTATGTTGTGAAAAGTGAAAGGGCCTCCATGTACAAATCAATTCCAAAACTGTTCGAAACTGCAAGGGGATCAATGCTATTTCTTAAAATAGTGATGACATCGTCCTCATTGTCTATATCAACATCATCTAATTCAACAGTTGATAGACCATCATCATGTGGTCTAGGTGCGTATGGGTCAAACCCATACCACTCTAGGTCTTCTACCTCTCTGATGTTTGAGTCGGCAACACCTGAAATTCCACACAAGGCATGGTTCCTCATGTCAAGCATACCATTTGTCCATATCTGGAGAGGTGTCCAATTATGTTGTGCCCGAATAGGATGTTGATTCCATGCAGAGGCAAATGAATTGAGAGCATTGTTTATTCTGGGAAAATAAATGAAATGCAAAACATACATGTGTAGTTTATTGGTGCGCTGCAATGCTCCACACTCTTCCATTGATTGAAAAGTATAATAAAAGATGTGACATACAGCACAAAATACATCTCGCCAGAGGCGCTCAATTCTTTGATTGTGGTCGGACGTGCCAGCAAGATAACTCTCTCTGTTAGTACCCCTTCTTTCTTCCATTAGCTCCCAGACTTTCACATTTTCTCCCCCATGATCAGTTCTAACTCTAGACGGCCATTCAAAGTGTTCAGTGGCAGCAAGGAAACACTGTTTGACTGTTTCACTTTTGTTGTTAGTTGAACATTTCAAAAACACAATCAATCTGGAAAAACCATCGATTCCTCCATGGATTACAAAGCCCCAATTTACAAGACCATGATGGCCATCAATGTGCCCTAAACTGTTTGGTCCTGGAACTGAGTAAGTTCTTCTAGAAACCGTAACAGCCCACCTTATGTGTGAATTAGTAGGATCTACACGTGCAATACTTTTTCGAATTCGGTCTCTCTGTATTCTGAGACCAACTGACTTTACATGGCCACTTACAATTGAACACCCAACAAGACAGCCATGCCGTAGGATAAATTCTCGGATAAGGTCGTCCAATTCTTCATCTGATATATCAGAGAATCCTGTTGTTTTTTCAATACCAAATTCCACTACACGTCTTCGTATTGTCCACCTGGAAACACGGAGCATTTCGGAAATATTTTTCCACGTAAAACCAAAGGAGCGTAACTGCAGTAAAACATCCTCACTTATATCCAGTTTTGGTCTACCTGGCGAAGAACTAGGTGTAACTCGAGGCGACTGATACGAATAAATGGCCAGTCGTGTACATTGCAGGGGCACCCAACGAGAATATAGTTCAAAACCACTTAAAGATAGCTTGTTAAACGTATTTTAGTATTTAAACGGTAGATATAGGCATATTTTTATCCCCTAAAAATTTTTCATCTGTTCGGATTTCCTAGCTGAAAGTCTAGTGATCCGAAAATTATAGGGATCAAAACTTACCTTTTCGAAAGTTTTAGCCAGAAAAAAGACTCCCGAAAATTCTAGGTGACCTTTTTAGGGTAAAAATCCGTTAAAAATAGGCAAGTATACCAATTTTTAGATGTCCGAAAATCCTAGGAGAGGCAGGCAAACAAGAAATTTTACAACAAATGTTCCGAAAATTCTAGATCTCAAATCGTCTTCCGAACAGATATTTTTCCGAAAATTGTCGTTGGGTGCCCCTGACATTGCGAAGGCGGGTCTTCTGTTGCATTCCAGTCTAGAAGCAAAACACGAATATTTCGCAAAATTTCTTCAATAAACGAAAAGCACTCCAGATTTCCCGGTGTTGTACATGCAATTACTTGCTGTAGCAGAACAACCACTGACTCCATCCTGATTGCTATATTCTCTCGAGCGGATACGTTGGCTGTATTATGCCTATATTGCTCATAGTCGTCTAAGAGTTGAACAATGGACTCAAACACTCTCATCCATTCCGCATATTCATCATGATCACTGTCCATGCCGAGGGAAATGGACGGCGAAGTAGCCTGTTCCAGGCTCCGAGATAGTGGTGGAAAGTCGTTCAGTAATAGGGAGCTTAAGCAACAGCGTTGTTGAGCGACGGACGTCAACCCGAAGTGGACCTTTTGCATTATTGGGCAGTGGCTTGTTTGAAACTCTCGGATAAATCCTTTTCATAAGAGAAAAGAAACTTAGCAATACAAATTTGTTAGCGTCAAGGCATATAAAAAGGGAGAAAGGCTCACTTCCGGTTGACGTGCGTCCCTCAAAAACGTCTTTGCTTAAGCTCCCTAATAAGAAAGGCGAAAAACGCGCGGGGGCTGGGGAGAGACAGGGCGCGTCTTATTTTCGCTTTGCTCGTTTTAATACGTTTCCACTATACTATCTGAGAGCCTGGCACAGGCTAACGGCGAAGCTTCTCTTTGCACTTGCAAATTATATATCCCAGCATGCACTCGGGGGCTACGTCGACACCAGCGCAAAGCATATTGGGATTTGTTGACTTTTAAGGTGATTGTTGAATGTGATCGATATCCTTGAATGTGATCAAATTTGAATTCTTAAATTATGCAGCATTTGGCTTCCATAGTTTGTTGAATATAATGCGTGACTTTGAATGTGATCGAGATGCTTGTTGAACTTGATTAATTTTCGATGTGTTGAATGTGAATGTCTGGAACCCTGGTCTGGAATGTTCATGTTGAATGTGATGTATGACCTTGAATATGATCGAGATGCCTGTTGAATTTGATTAATTTTTATGTCTTGAATGCGAATGTGATCGTTGAATGTGATCGTTATCCTTGAATGTGATCGAATTTGAATTCTTGAATTTTGCACCATTTGGCCTTCCATAGTACGCGGCCGAGGAGGACGTCAACCGGAAGTGAAATGTTCAATTCTTGGAACTAATTAGCATAATGCCACAGCGTCGACCGGAAGTCGCGACGGTGAAAACTAGAAGTTTGGCCGCCTCGTAAAACGGTGAGTTGGTTTTCTTGTTTTCGGTGCAGAAATTGCTTTTCGTACAGGATTTTCGATCCATTTTACTTCAAGAGACACATTTAAGTGTTTTTAGTGTGGTGTTCTCTCAAGATTGACTCTTATTTTTTTGCTATCAAGCCTTTTGGGTTCAGTGTTTTGGCGGCAACTGAGAATGAAAGCGCTGAGTCTTTCGACACAAATGTTACACTATAACTGCTTGTTTTTAAGGGGACAACGTTCTCACTTTAGGATAGTATTTGAAAAATTTAAGAGACGACAAGTCGAATGAAAATTGTTGCAAAAAAAACCAAGGCTTGTAATAAACTTGAACATGTCGGGAAAAATTGAGATCTAGAACAAGACGCCATGGTTCATTTATTAACTTTTATAATTTTATTTTGTTCACTTTCGGTTCAGCGATGGAGCGGTCTGAAGATCAAAATCTCGCCTTAGTACGGGAAGTTCTCATAACAGAACCATATCGTTTTAAAGCAAGATCTAGAACAACGGAAAGCGAAAAAGTCTGGCAACAAATAGCTGATAACCTGAACTCCGATCATACCCTCAAGTTTCCCTCGAAGAAATTTTTTTTTTTTTTTTTAGAGAAACTGGAGTCATAGCCGGCAGCACAAATTTTTCTACCAATAAAAGATCGTTAAGGTATCAATCAAGCAAGACTTCACGAGTTTTTCTAAAAGACGTCATGGAATTAAAACACGAAAGCATTACCCAACCTGCTCAATCTTAATTTGTTTTTCCCGCGAAGGTGGCGGCGTCCTCGCTCCAGGCTTTCTCCGTTCTCTTTACCGCCGCGTCCAGGGTATCTTAAGGAATCTTAAGGTCCCGAATTATTGCACACGCGTCCTCGAAGACTTGAGAGTGTCACGTACTCGTTCTCCAGCTGATTAAGTGTTTGCAGTGCTTCCTTTGCAGTAACTATCTGCACTGGCAAAACAGTAAGACTGTCTTTCATTTCCTGTTGTTTTGAATCTAACGGGCTACATCCTTGCTGGTCGTTTTGAGCTGATATGGGACTCGCTCGCCCCGCGAAACTTGCTGACGGAAAAGTTGGCGCATAAAATGACAGTTGTTTGGGTTCTAAACAAGTAAGTTCGTCGCCGGTACTTGGATTTTCCACGCCAAAATCCACTCGCTTCATTTTGTGCGGGCACGGAGAATCGATTTCGTTAGCTTGAATGAATATTTTCTTGTAGTCGCGGTCTTTCACTTCTTTGGCCGTGTGAAGCATTTCCGACAACGCAAACAAATCTGCTTGACAAACATTCACCATATCGCCATCCTCGTCACGGTAGCGAAGTCTAATCTTATCTGCGTCCAGGTGAGCCAAAGAAGAACAATTCTTTTTTATGCTACTAAAATTCTGATCGAGTATAACTGTCTTTCACACAACATATTGAATTTGAATACATGCTGGAAATTTTCTGGGATGGGTAGATTTACTTACCCATGGTGCTACGCAGGCGCGCTTCGCGCGCGCCAGAGCTCCGCTAAAATGGTACCCCTTTACGTCCCACCCCACTCCCACAGGAATGATACTCAGGGTATGAGTGCAGTATATAGAGGATATTACACGGTGGCGAGAAGATATGAATTTTATGTTCGAGTGGCAAGACTTCGCTCACTCGTGAGATATTGTTTTTGCCACGAGAACATAAAATTCATATCTTCGAGCCAACGTGTAATGTTCTTTTTATTATATGGAGAAACCATTTCAACAAAAGCAAAAGGCGGGAATCGAGATGTCATTGAACGATACGACACTCACAAAGGTGACATACGGAAAATACGCCACTCGGGTCCCGGATGAAGTGGCGTATGGAATCTACGAGTGGTTTAGTTCCCAGTAAAACACTCTCCTCCATGTAACAAAAGAATCTATATGTCGGTACACTATAGGAATCATATATGAAATACCTACCACGAGGGAACCTTGAAAGGGGGAGGTTTGTTGTTTTTACGTTGATTTTTTTCTTCAAAAATGTTACTAGCGGTGAGAACACGAACTTTTTCCAGCATCTTTAACAGGCATTTGAAGAATGGAAGCCTGACATTTGCTGCTTGCTCGCACAGCCGGGCGAACGTGGAAAGCGATAACGTTCATGTGCTCAACAAAGCTTACTCTCGAGACAATATGACCAACATAACCACGAGCATTTTAGCAAAAGTCGGGAGAAATCTCCATCACCAAAAAAATCATCCTCTGGGAATTTTAAGGAATAAGATTCAAGAACACGTTTATGCTGCATACAGAACGCGCTGGGGTGGACCGATGTTTACCATGGTGGATTACTTGTCACCAGTAGTGACGGTAGAACAGAACTTCGATAGCTTGTTAGTCCCCAAAGATCACGTTAGTCGCGCGAAGAATGATAACTTTTACATTAATTCGGAGTTTCTGCTCCGGGCACACACTTCAGCGCATCAGAGAGACATGATCAAGAGCGGATTGGATGCATTTTTGCTGACAGGTGATGTGTACAGGAGAGATGAAATTGACTCTTGTCATTACCCAGTGTTTCATCAAATGGAAGGTGTTAGGTTGTTTTCTCAGCATGAGTTGTTCGCACAATACAAGGTGAACATATCTTGTTTTACAATAACAGAGTGATTTCTTGCACGCTGATTGGTTGAGAGCTATGGTGGATAAGAGTACAGACGATAGAAATGATGTGATGGTGTGGCAATTTGTTTTTCATATTCTTGCACATTCAATTTTCCCAGAAACTGTCAAAAACTGTCAATGTTATTGTAAAAAACAAATAGACAACAATTCTGTTCTCTTATCAACCATGTAAAGTACAGACCATGGAAAATAGACCTTGTCACGGTTTTCGACGCCGTCTTGACGAGTAGGCTGTTCTGAAAAAAGTATCAATCGTTAACTAAAGCTACAAAGCAAAGGATTGTCCTAAAAAATTTTGGGGGCGTACCTGTGCTTAAATTTCTCCAGAGGCTTGCGTTAGATTTTCCATATATTTCCATATATTTCCCGGGACTTTCTTACAGACAAATGTATAGAAAATTTTAAAAAGTGGTTATAGGTCTTCAAGTGCATGTAACGCCCACAAATTTTTTCAGGAGAATCCTTAGGAATGAAGCTTCAGTTTACAAATCATATTTTTTTCAGAACAGCCGTTCTATGGAAATTATTCGACATTAGATTCTCATACAAACACTGTAATTTCTCACGCGTTTGCCTACTTTTCAAGATGGCGTCGAAAACCGTGACAAGGTCTATTGTGGCTGATTTGTTAATTACCCTGTATCTAGTGATCAGGTGTCTCAACAGCATATAAGGTGTAAAAAAATAGCAGTGAGCATAGGGGGCAGGGGTTGATTGGGAGAGGGAAAGGTGTGGGAGAGATGTGGACAAAACATCCATGCTGCTATTCCAGGGACTACTAGTGTGACATCATGAAATGTTATGTCCATAGACTCTCCCTACTGGTTTTAAACTGCAAAACAGTTGTTTTGCTTTGATGATGATGTTGTTGCTGTCGTTCTCAAAATCTGTCTTTGTAGGGTGCAAAGTGTCTGCCTGAAATTCTCGAACCAGGTGTGCAAGCCTCGCTCTATTATTTCACCCTTGCTCCAGACCTTTTGTTTGATAAGTGCTTGCATTTGTGACCTAATCCTTAACCAATACCTCTCTCCCTGGTCTTACTCTATATTTTTTAACCCTCAATACAGACCTTTTCTTGGACAAGTGCTTGTATTCTTGACTAAAGCAAATCTATAAATAATAATGCCTGTTTTTCAGTCTACACTCCTTCCTCATTTGCCATGTTCTTTTTTCCTCCTCTCCCCTTTCAATCCTTTTAAATTCTTCGCACATTGTTTGGGTTTAATCACCAAGAAATAATGAAGGGATCTTAATGGACCTAACTGACCCTTGATCACACTTAAATATCTCTCTTTGCTTTGCAAGCCTTTAGCGCAGAAGGGAAAATAGAGTAAAATATAAGGTCACCCTTTCCTTTAGCGTTAACACCGTGGTTATTTGTTAGGAACAAATGTGGCTAAAACTTTCAAAGAAAAAACAAAACAGAATAAAATAATCCTGAGAATTCTATGGATGAATAAAATGACCCACTAACTGAGGACACTCGCTGGCACATAAACTCTGTTTCTTAGAATAACGTAACTTATTATTTTAAAATTTTGCTTCTTTAAAAAAAATAAATATTGCTCATGCAGTTTGGTTGTTATTGCCAGTATCGTCAGTGGCCATACTGTCACATGTGGTTATAGGGTCTGTAACTCATGCAAATCGTACTTCATTAATTTTTCTGTACCTGTTTTGTTTGTGTTTTATACAAATTAAAGATTGTGAAGTATTTTTGTCCATCTTGAAGGACCCACTAGAAATTTTTGGCAATGACAAGAACCAAACACCAGAGAAACAAGCCATACACACTTTGGAAGCAGTGAAGTTAGTTGAGTACAGTCTCAAGCAGACCCTGGTGGGGATAGTGGAGAATCTGTGTGGGGAGGGGGTGGAGATGAGATGGGTTGATGCATACTTCCCCTTCACCCACCCCTCATGGGAACTGGAAGTCTTGTTTGAAGGAGAATGGTTGGAGCTTCTTGGTTGTGGTGTAATTGCACATGATGTGCTAGTAAAGGGTAAGTTCAAGTAACTTTTGGTAGACACTGAAACACCATTGAAACCTGAAGTGAAGCTGAGGACCCACATCTCCTGTACAGAAATGGGTTATTCCAGAAAAAATCCACACCCCCCTTGACGGATGGGGTCCTTTTTTAACCCCCCCTCTCACCTGGATTTCCTGAAGCACAAGACCCCCCCTCCCAACTGGATTTCCAAGGTGGAAGACCCCCCCTCCCGCCTGGATTTCCGGGAAAAAATAAAAGGCTTAAATTTAATTTATTTTTAATGGAAAATACACGCAAACACGTCTAAATGTTTTTGTTTTAATTTCTAAAGCTTCAGCTTATATTAAACTAAGAATTCTATCGCGTGGAACTAAAAACGAAAGGAGCAAAAAACAAAAATGCGAACGACACCTGAACGAGTGTTTACATAATTTCTTAGCTTATAAAAATCACTCTTCGCTCTTCGCGCGCGGGCTCTGGGTACGAGTAGAAATGTGTCAGGCGTTTGATGCTCTTCGTGACAACAACGTTGCGACGAGTTCCTTCAGGCCCGTTCTTTAGTATCTTGTTCGCGTTTTCTGCTATAAAAGGACCTGTAAAGCAACTTAGATTATCATTTATGTCAGGTGAGAAATATATGAACAAAACATTTTGACTATTTTCAGGGTCTGAAAGCGCTTAAGAGTGTCATCGAACTAAACGTTTGATTTGTATCAACTATCGGTCGAAATGACCCCTGCAGAAGACTTTTTTAAGGTCAACCCCCCCTCCCGCCTGGATTTCCGGAGTCTTCGACCCCCCCTCCCGCGAGAATTTCCAGAATCCCATCCGTCGGGGGGGTGTGGATTTTTTCTGGAACAACCCAATACTTTTCACATCACTGATTTTATTTTGCAAAGATAAAAACTACTTTGTACAAGAAAAAAGGAAATGTGATACACTGACACATCATTCACACCTGAAACGTAATATTAATGATGATGAGATTTATTTGTTATGCAGAAAAAATTAATTGAATGAATTGAGTCTGACTAATTAAGATCGATGTTTGAATCAACCGTTGAACTTATATCATTTGGGTCGATCCAAATAGTTACTAAGTCCAGTGCATGAAAAGTTTGACATTTGAACTGGGTCTTTGTGAGTTTTAACTTTGTCTTTGTGTTTAGGTGGTGCTGAGCGTAAAATAGGCTGGGCATTTGGAATAGGACTTGAGCGTCTAGCTATGAGGCTTTTCAAGATCCCTGACATTCGACTTTTCTGGAGTGAGGATCCAAGGTTTATCTCCCAGTTTGCAGAAGATGAGGTTGTGGAATTCAAGCCTTTTAGCAAATACCCTCCCACCTATAAAGACATGGCCTTTTGGGTGCCTGAAGACTTCTCTGCCAACAATCTGTTTGATGTGGTCCGTGGGGTAGCTGGTGACATTGTGGAAAAGGTAAAGTAATCATAATGATTGAAGTGAAGTGTAGAACAGGAAGAAAGAATACCAATCACATGTTAAATAGCTGAGGAAGATTATTGTATAGACGCCAAGTGTTAGGGTAAAATTCTGACATGTGACATGGCCTTGAAATAATAACATAAGACAAAATGAAATGGTGACATAACGGAGGCTGAAACTGCGACAGCGATTAGGTAAATTGCAAATACAATAGTTAAATACCGACAGTGACGTGGCCTCCTCTTCAATATGCAAAACAACAACTTTGGAAATTCATATGAGGGACATGGGTTCCCTCCCCCTGTCCCACCCTTAGAAGGCCTATGTATATGCCCAATGAAATGTCCAGCAATTTTTAGCTCATTTTAGGTTCTAGTCAAGTAACAATATGTCTTCAGTAATGAATATTCCGTTTTAAATTGATTCAATCTCTCATTCTTTTAATTGTTTATAAGGATTATTTTGCCTGAAATAAGGCAATTGGCATTAAACTGAGCTTACTTTTGCCACATGTCCTCTTTGTGCCCATAGCTTTTATACTTGTTTAAACTTGTGAAATCCTTTCTCTGTGATCTGGCAGCCTTGTTGTGGGAGCCCAACCGGCAAGGTAGGCAAGTGCTCACATTGAAATATAACTCCTGACAAAAGAATAATGTTGGACCAAACAAAATCTTTTACCGGGATTTTCTCGACATCTCCCCACCTAAGTTTTCTAATTAAATAATGGCACATCTAGGGGTAGGCTGAGGTATTAGTAATAGGCGCTGCTACTTTATCCCAGGGTTAATCAGTCTCTTTACGCCTTTTTAGATGGAGCTTATTGACAGATTTACACACCCCAAAACTCAGCAGGAGAGCCAGTGTTACCGAATAACCTACAGATCCATGGATAAAACCTTCACAGATGCAGAAATTAATAGCATCCAGGACTCTGTCAGAGAGGAAGTACAGAAAAGACTAAGCGTTCAGCTGAGATAGATTAGCAAATTAACTGACCACTCGATCATACGTTGTTGAATATGGACGTTTAGGATCACTTCTTACTAGCATTAGCTGTAAACTCTAAGCAGGATTAAAATCTAAGTTAACAGGGCAAGCGTATTGCACTATATAAACTTAACGAACTCAGTGCGGTCAAATTTGCAGAGTTAGTGCTTGCTAGTGTAGAGGTTCGTGGGTTGAAGTTAACCTTTGAAGACATTTGAAGATAAGGAAGAGAGATACCATCTTTTGCTGAAGGTCAATTCTTTGATGCGCTGTCTTTGATGTTCTACAAACTCTGGCACACAGGACTTTTCTCTCGCCTGGCCACCTGTTTTGGGGGCGACGAGGGGCGAAGAGACGGGGATACTTGAGACTAACAGGACACTCTACTTCGTAGCTTAGAGCTTAGAGCCCCCTAACGGGTCCGGAAAGATCACGGGGCCAGCACCCATCGGGGACCTGCTAACTCCGATTTGTCCTTTTTCCCACCTTCACAGCAGAAAATTACACCTTGTTACGAGAAAGCGGCAACAGACATCTTTTATAGCAATTGTCCAAAAAGGTGGTGAAAGTTGGTGGAGACGTCAAATCTTTCAGGCAAGACGTCCGCTGAGCTTGAGTAACAAAGAACGTGAATTTTGTAGTTTTCGAGCAGTTTCCTTAAACTCATTCTCATTTGTTGAATTTTTATTGATTGACAAGCTCTTGGTTTATTGAAAATTGTCTTGACAGAGGAGATTTAAGAAACGTACTTATTTTCATCTTGAAGTAATTGCTTAAGCTAGAATTAAGTAATAGGAATAAAATGTTTTCTAATGGCCCACTGTTCTTCAAGTAATTTTCTTGGTAAATAAGAGGATTATCTGGTTGTAACAAAGTTATCAGGGAAAAATAAAACAGGTCCTTGAGTCAAAGGGAGAAAAATTACTTAATTGATATTCGAAAAGAGCACAACTCACAAGCCAAGTAAGACAGTGGAATGTCGGTCAAGTAGAGTGGTGAGGTTAGTGGTTTGATGGTATTGAAGTTTTGATTCCTTTCCATTAGTTTCTCAGGGTTTTAAATTTTAGGCATGCTATCGTAAATCTATAACAATTTATTTCAGTCCATTAAGTTGTTGATCTGGAAGTCAAAGATTGTGCTGTTTTCCCTAAAACCTTTTGGTTACATCGGCCATGATACATGCTTTTTAATTTGGCGTCAACTATTTGCTGTATTTGTGACAAAAAAAATATACGTCGATTATATTCTGTGTCGCGAAAAGGCATTGCACAAATTACAGACCTGTTCCTTGAAGACGCGCTAATCAAGAAAGAGTGATTGAAAGTACGTTTAAGAACATGGAGTGGAGAGGATATTGCAGCGAATTTAAAGCTTTGGTAACTGCAATTCAAACTCGCACTAACTTACGGAAAAATTAAGTAACCTGTCCCTACCGTCTTTCAATTTACAGGAAAGGATTTCTGTATATCTTTTAAACTATACTTGGACAAATCGTACCTTTTTGCGTATTTTGTCTCCATCGATTACGGCCTACTTGATTAATATTTAATTTTCCCCTTAACATATTACTACCGACAAAAACCCTCAGTTGTTCATATTAAGTGCAAATACTGTTAGGTATCCAAGCTGGGCTAAGGTACGGATATGTGAGGTACCCCTCCTGAAACCGCTGTTTATTCTTCTTGTCCAGGAGGGGTTTGACTCCCGAGTGTAGTCGATTGTAGTGTTTCAGGACAATAACATTGCTCGCCTGATCACTGAGCCGCGCTCCGTAGTCGAAGAGTCGATCCAGACGGAGTGAACCCAAGCTCATGGCAACACCGGCTTGAACCTGCAATGAAACAATTTTTAAAAACTGGAGAACACGCACCGGTTTGTCCCCCAGGGATGGGGCTACTGCCATGTATGGGCTAGATGGGTATGTTTCGCCATGAAGGGTATGGTTTGTGAGGGTCTCCATCCGTAAAAAGGTAACATATCATTTTCACCATTGTTGGCGTTGAGTTCCCGGTGTGATCCATAGATAGGGTACCGTTATTATTTCTGAATTGGGTCTTATTTTTCAGGCTTGAAGGTATCAGGTTTCGTTTTTTTCATCCTAAAATAGGATCAGGGTCCCTGTACCCTGGGCGGTACACACCTGTACGAAATTTATGGGAATACCCCCTCCCGCGATTTTTGTCTCTGGAATAGACCAGTTAACTGTTGTTGGTGAAAGCAACGCTGCACGGGTTGACCTAGTTTTAAGAAAATCCTCCCTGCTTACATCAACCAATGTTTTTGTAGCATATATAAAAAGGAAAGAAAGTTCATCCTCTGCCTCGTACTCACTCACAGGCTAAGATAACAAGGTAACACAGAAGAAAGATGAAAACGCTTTGATTCCATCGATGAATCTCAGTCTGTAAAGTATCAATTACTTGATCATCGTTTGGTATACATTCCAAAATTAGTTAAAATTTACTTTCTTTACTTACTGCCGACACAAATCCGTTTGGCAGTCGGTAAGCGTTGAATACTTCGGGTGCCACTCGATCGTCGTCGTAAATCTTCGTGGGCATATTCGGCGTGAATGCCCCGTAAGCCGCGATTGGATAATTAACAGCTGTATGCTGTGCACTTGCAGTCCAGATGAGACGAGTAAAAATATCTACCAACAACACCTTGGAGTTAATTGCGGGTGGAAAACCACGAAGCTGGAATAAAGACCCCAACAAGAAATTTCTTTTAGCAATTTTCATTAATTATCCGCATATAAGAATCAGCATTTGTCCAAGTTAGCCTAAAATGGTTCTTGCATTTATAGCGTTTTCTGGGAAAGTTTTCTTTAACAGGTTCTCCAGTACTTCCTCAAAGAAAAGTACTTTTTTTTCTTGAAAAGCTTGTAAGTTTCGAGTGCACAAAGCCTAGAACAAGTTCGTACTTCAGCGTTTGTTAGAGTTCGCTCCTCAGACAATTAAAACTCAAATCCGGAAAAAAAATTACCCTAAAAGGCAAATAACAAATTACTGAGTTTATTTGTACCTTTCCTTTGCCGCCATTACTCCCTAGTCCTTGGGCAGACATTTCGTTAGCAAAGCCTTGGATTTCGTGATCTTGCAGTACGTCCTTGTCAGCGGCGTAAAAGCTGAATGTAAAAGTCAGTTCATTAATACCCGAAATATCTTTAACCTACGATTTCTACGGCGTACCGCGGTCTGTGATTGGTCATTACCAGAAATACTGAAAACTTTCAGCATTAGGCAGATTAATAGGGGATAACGCGACCACAATTAACAACTGCGCGCAGACCTAAAAACTGACTTGGCCAATAGCAGAGCAGCAAATTGAACACCGAACTGGTCGGGTTCATTCCTTTCCGCGCGATTTCGCGTTTTCTTTTGATGTAAAGTAGTCTTTTCTAAATCTGCTTATTCAACGGTCACCTGAAGCCTAGAACTTGAGTTTTATTTTGTGTTGACTTTCAGTTTCTTTATACTAGATGCATGGTAGTTGGTTATTTTATTTCCTTGAAATCTGTTTAGTCCAAACGATACTGCTTAATGGGTACTAAGTTCAGAAACATACCTGAAGTAACATCATACTACGTTATTAAATTACGTTAAATCGTAATCCCAACGTTGCTTAAGTCAACTTGTTCGAAACAGGCCAAGGTGGTGTTAGTAGTATGGTGTTTAATCTGTACTCACAAGTTAACTATGTCTTTCATGAGATCCTCGATTGCTTTGTAAATTATCTCCCCGTCGTCTCTGTACGGAAAATATGGCAATTTGCTGCGGTCATCAATCCCACGAGCCTGATAAAACAAGCCGGAAAAGAGCCAGATACTAGGAATCGGTAAGGTGATATACACGATAACACATAACATCCACACGTGGAGGTATTATCTACCAAGCTATCGAATGGGGAAATTATTACTGCCCATAACTTGTTGACGATGATGACCATAACGTTGATGATCATGGGGAGAAGGATGACGATGATGATGTTGTTGTTGATGATGATGATGATGATGATTATGGTGGTGGTGGTGGTGGTGGTGATGGTGATGATGATGGTGTTGGTGTTGACGACGACGATGATGATGATGATGGTGGTGGTGGTGGTGGTGGTGTTACGATGATGATGATGATGCTGGTGGTGGTGGCGGTGGTGGTGCTACGATGATGATGATGGTGGTGGTGGTGGTGTTACGATGATGATGATGATGATGGTGGTGGTGTTGGTGGTGGTGGTGGTGGTGGTGTTGCGATGATGATGATGATGATGATGGTGGTGGTGGTGGTGGTGTTACGATGATGATGATGATGCTGGTGGTGGTGGTGGTGGTGGTGCTACGATGATGATGATGGTGGTGGTGGTGTTGGTGGCGGTGGTGGTGGTGTTACGGTGATGATGATGATGATGGTGGTGATGTTGGTGTAGGTGTTGCGATGATGATGATGATGATGATGGTGGTGGTGGTGGTGTTGGTGGTGGTGTTGGTGGTAGTGGTGGTGGTGGTGGTGTTACGATGATGATGATGATGATGATGATGACGATGGTGGTGGTGGTGGTGGTGGTGTTACGATGATGATGATGATGATGATGACGATGATGGTGGTGGTGGTGGTGTTACGATGATGATGGTGGTGGTGTTGGTGGTGGTGGTGGTGGTGGTGTTGTTGACGATGATGATGATGATGGTGGTGCTGGTGCTGGTGCTGGTGGTGTTGACGACGACGATGACAGTCATGATCATGACCATGTAAGAGACCTCAGCATGGCCTGGAGGGTGGTAAGGTGCCAATGTTTAAATCCCTAGCTCTTGCCAATGGATACAGATGGAGTGGTTCATAATAGTCTGGATTATAACTTCTGTCAGTTTGATTTTTACCCTTTCAAGTTTCCTTTTTTAACTACAAATATTTAAAACTTTCAAAATTCATCATTTTAATTCAATATATTTGCTATATTTTTTCTGTAAAGGATTATCACTGATTATCTATTCTCCATGATGACAAAAACGAAGAATTTACACACCTTGTTTCTGGCTCTGAAGTCAGTATCTTCCCATGTCAAGGTTTGATAAGCGCGGAGCAACAGCGTTACTGATCCGGTGTTACCAATGGCAAACAACTGATGCATGTATGCTTTGTCATCCACCAGTTTAGGAAAGCCAACCTTGTTAGTTGGTAGTAAACCCCTGCAATTATCAAATTAGGAAAATCAATCAACGAGGAGCCTCTTAAAAGAATAAACTTGAAAGTCCTCTGTTTTTCTGACCACTTTTCTCTCCTTCGAGAAACTGTGTCTCTCCTGTAAAATTATAAGAGAGATCGAAATGTACTGTGTAAGGCTTTCAAAGTAATGGAACGCATTTTTCTGTTCACACGATGCGTTTACTGCGCCTGTTGCTTTTATCGCCCATAAGCATACGCCCCTAAGCCTTAGCCTGCCTTGTGGCAAGACAATTTTTGTAACTCTGGGGCATCATATGAAAACAACACCATAAATGCGCCAGCTCCTACCTGCAGTGGTACTTCATGAGTTGGTGCAGGGGATGCAGTTTTGACAGGTGTCTCAAAATGCACACACAAAATGGCTCCAACATGAGATGCGTTTTCAGTAAGTGTTCCACCATCTGAACGTAAGCAAAGTTGGTGACTTGGAAACTCTCCTTAGCTAAAGTCCACAGGTCACCATCTTCAGGAGAGTAAACAAGGGAGTCTGTGATACAAAACAGAAGTTATCACGAGTTTTTCTCGAGCTCACAGTCATTTTCTTTCGAGAGCAGTACAAAACAAGACACAATATTAAAGACAAGCAGTTGAAAGATGGCATAAGCATAATTCCTTCTTCCTTGATTCCAAAGGCTATGCCTTACTATATATTTAAGATATTGTTGTTTAATTGGGGGAGCTGGGGTACCTAATCAGAATCAGGATTGGAACGTTTGGAGGCCTAGCTATTAGTAATCCCATGTTTTCTTAAAAACAGCGCTTGAAATTAAAGCGAGCTCCTGAAAATCGTACCCGCGAGAAAAGTGATATTAGGGAGTAAAGATATCATGGTTTTAAACTCCCTGACATCTTGTGTAATCTTCCTAGGCCTCGTGGGTGGTGATTTCTTGCGTGTTTGCGCATTTCACTCGCTTTACTGAAGAAATTGTTTAAAGGAATTGTCGTAATTAATTAGGCGCAACAGAAAAGTCACTCCAATTTCTGAGCAAATTGAAGGGGTACGAGGCTGTTCATTGTCTATTGAGTGGAGACTTACTGATTTAGTACAGGTTCGTAGCCTCTTAAACAGTGACCATACCTGGTTTAAAGTCTAGCTGAATAGCAACAGGTTTCAACTGCGCAGGTTCGCCATTATCCCCTGGACGAGAAACAAACAAGGCGATAGGGGATAAAGAGGGCCACATTTTCCGTGTAGGTCTGGGTTCAGTGATGTCTGGCACAGTAGCAAGGTTGTCGAAGAGAGGGAACTGGACAACAAAAATAGATCCTGCAGCAATAGCCTCTTCCAGCTTAACGTTGTCCCCTGAGCTTCTCTCTACAGCAGAATCCCAGTCGTAGTTTGAATTCAAGCGCGGCTTCAGTGCAGACCATTTGACACCAACAGAATCTGACAAAGTCGCACCAGCGATATGGATTAAACAATAATGAATATAATAAGTGTGAACGCTATGATTGGTTGAAGGTTAATAAACGTTAATTTATGGGTCAGAAATAGCTGTTGGAATACCAACCGTATGGCACTGCAGAACGTTTGCTACATAAGTAAGGAAGTAGTGAACAACTTTCTATGCTTACGTAGATCTTTGTTCAAGTCTCAACGACGGTTTAAGTGGCCTTCCTTAGTTGCCTACATGCAATCTTTCGAAATTTCCTTTAGAACTCGGATTGGTAAGTTCCTTGCCCTTCTCTCGTGCCATGACTCGGGGAAAATAATTTTTGGTAAAAATATGTTACCTCAAATATATTTCCTCTTGATGCTATTAAAAAAAAATGAAACTTCGAATTTGATTGATTGTCAAACAAAGACGCATTATCTAACGAACACTGATGATACTAAATAATATGTTATTTTCATCAAAGGTGGGCAAAAATTCGCCCAAAGGCTAAACTAAATTATAAACGTTAAGACGGATGGGGGAGGGAAAAATTTTTTCGGCAGGGAGGTAATCGCCGTGATGGGAAGAGGGAGTGAACAAGGGAATGCGTGCGCTTATATGCGAACATTTCCTTGGAACCTTGAAAATGATTGGCTCTTGAAAGAGAGGTTAGGTTGACAGGAGTCATATGACCAACTACTAATGAACAAAAAGGAGCCAGAAAAAAGGTACATGCATGGGCTCACAATGTAGTTATAGTTGAGATGTTGATCTTTAATAGATGGTGAATGTTCAGCAAATTAAACTGCCACGCAGACAAGTGGCCAAATAATGTCAACACTTGAGCGGATCTGCGTTGTATTGCTTCAGAACAATAGCGTGACTTCAATGACAGCTCCCTAAAGTAATGTTAGAGTACCTGTATAAATCTTATTTTTGGAAGATCTTTGGCGTCACCTACCTTGACCCGTGGAAACTTTCGTGAGTGACATGGGATCCAAGCCGGCTAAACGCTGCTCAGAGAACACACGGTCTTCACGCCACGTTACGTTATTCACTACACTTTTGAAAGGCTCTTCTTGGGAAGGAAATCGGAAGAACGGGCCAACCTGACAGAAATAGAAGGAATGAGAAAATATAAAATGAGCCTGTTACTGCAATTTTTACCAGAAGTTTACTAGCTAGGGATCTCGAATTTGCTCTCAGTTTTTCGGTAAGGAACTTGAAGGCAATATGGAGTCTGTGATGCAGTCTTAACGATCTTGTAGCGACATTCCCAAAAAACTACTGAAATAAGTTAGACAGCGAGAAGTCTCTTATTCTCTTCAAAGTCCCTGGAGTAGGACGGGCGAGCGGCGAACGGCAAAGCGGGAAACGAGAAAACGCGTCTTTTCTCCTCTCGCCCCAGTCCCAATTTGGCTAAAAGCGTTTTTAGTGCATACACCGCGCTCACTCCGTCTGAGAACTGGACGGATCTAAGAGAAAAGGCGGAATGCAAGCAGTCTAAAAATAAGTCACACCCTAGGTATTGTTCTTTAAAAATAGACTATTGCTATTAAACAATAGCGAGTCTGTCTCAAGTTAAATCAAGCGAGGAAATATCCCTTTATTCTCGGTTGGTTAAACATATCTGTTACGCCTTGATCCTCTTGAAAAGTTTCGATATAAAACAAAGAACATAGTGGCTCTGCCTTGCACAATGGAAACTAAACGGGGGAAGTATTTCTTTAGCCTCGGTGGACAACATCCTCTGCGATCTTCATAATTCTTCGTATCGTACTCAGTCTTATTCAATAAGTGTTATTTGTAGGATTTAATGGATTACAAAAGACCAACATATATAAACCTGAATTGTGGGGCTACTGAGCCTTCGTGGCAGGCGCTGGTTATGGCAGCTTGAATCCTTAATGGAAAGGCTCTCGCATATGATTTGAGAAAGTAAATAAATATAAAATTGCCATATTTACCATTTCGTCTTTCTGTTGCTGCTGGAGAAAGAAATGATAAACCTGTTCGTAGTCGGAGATTTTCGAAAATTCTTTTTTGTTCATCTGCGGAAAATTCTGGATGAGGGCGTAGTTTTTCTTTAGCATGTACCCATACAACTTCATCCATGTTTCAGTGAAGGGATCTGACAACGTAAGGTTTACCAAACGATACACGTTTATGTCACTCATCGGAAACGGAAGATTATTCACGTGACCAAGTTTGTAGATTGCTCGTTGTTTTACCAGATCTTTGCCTCTGCTTTCATGACAATGGACTGCAGCCTTTTGTGGAATAGCCACACCACATGGAATACCTACAGGGTGTACGTACATCAAAATAAAATAAATTCAAACAAAAACTCAACATGCCAGATAATCAGTAACCTTTTTGACAATCTCATATGCGCAAGGCTTCCATGGATTGTACCGATAAAAGATGTCGCCGCTTGTAAAGTAACCCGAATTGCGAAAAGTGAGAAGTTTTGCTTGTGGAATGCGGAATTCAGCTCAAGGAATCTGCAATCCCCGACTCGTCCCCAGTTGTTTCTCTCTCTTTCTCCGTAATGGCGCGAGGGGTGTGATGAGATTTGATTTGATTTCTTTTTCCTTCCCATCACCCCCTGCTCCTGCCGCGAGCGTTACGCGAAGACGACTGGAGACGAGTCAGCTGCAATCCCGCTAACGATTGGAATCCGGAATCCAAGTTTTACTGACAAGGAGTCCGGAATCGATAGCGTAGAATCCAGGGATCAATTTAGGTCTCTGGGAAACTACTCACCTACCCCTCCCCTAAGCCAACATTTTGCCCTAAACGAGAAGTAAGCGTTAATGTTAGCTTATGGGAGGGGTAGGTGGGCATTTTCCCAAGTTTGTCTTGGCATTACCTTAGATGTGGGGAAAACGTTGCCTCAGGAGTACCAATAAGTTGATCGTTTGTGATGTGATGTGTTGTGATGTCATGTCGCATCGCGCGATATGATTGGAAACCTTTTATATCCACGGTTTTCCTATCAGTGGGTTATATCCACAGTTTTCGAACTTACGCTTTTTGCATCCAACTTGAGGCTGGTATCCAATCCATCCCGGGCAACAATCGTAGATGTTGTAATGGACAGTTTTGCGTACTGGGTACCAATAAATCTTGGTTTCATTCCTATAAAAATAACGTCGGATGACTCTTACTTCCTCAATCTATTTTTCTGCGCCGTCTTTATGAAAGTTACATCATGATACACTCACTTTGCATTCGTCCACACAAACAATTAATTATATATATGTTTCAAAAGAAAGCTAACAAACAATCTTTGTTTTGAAGAATATATATTGTTCCCCCTTTATTTCTTCGTTAGGAGATGTATTGTTCCCAATAGCGTGCGACGCCCTCCCGACGCTATTCATCCGGAAGTCTGCCCCTCGGTACATTTGAAACTAGGATGACCGCCCGTCATAGTATTCGTTCGATCGAGACGATCTTTTGGGAATATGTAGCCCGACCGTAAAAAGTCTAAACTGAAGTCTACCAATTCAACGTTAAGTTGTCACTCGATTTTCCTCATTCGTCTCATTCTTGCTGGCATTGGCTACGTTAGATCGTTAGATCGCTAGATTGTTAGATCGCCACCTCATTAGATCCCTAGATCGATGGATTGTTAGATCGCTATGTCGATGGATCCTTAGATCGTTAAATCGCTGGATCGATGGACTGATTGATCGTTAGATCGTTAGATCGCTATATCGTAACATCGCTACCTCGTTGGATCGTTAGATCGTTAGATTGTTAGATCGTTAGATCGCTGGATCCATGGACTGATTGATCGTTAGATCGCTAGATCGTTATATCGCTAGATCGATGGATCGCTAGATTGTTAGATCGCTAGATCGTTAGATCGTTAGATCGCAAGATCGCTATGTTGCTAGCTCGCTAGATCGACGGATCGTTAGATCGTTAGATCGCTTTATAGTTAGATCGCTAGATCCTTGGATCGTTAGATCGTTACATCGCTAGATCGTTAGATCGCTAGATAGTTATATCGCTAGATCGATGGATCGTTAGATCGTTAGATCGCTAGATCGCTTGATCGTTAGATCGTTATATCGCTAGATCGTTAGATCACCACCTCCTTAGATCCCTAGATCGATGGATCGTTAGATCGCTAGGTCGATGGATCCTTAGATTGTTAGATCTTTAGATCGTTAGATCGCTAGATCGATGGATTGATTGATCGTTAGATCGCTAGATCGTTATATCGCTAGATTGATGGATCGCTAGATTGTTAGATCGCTAGATCGTTAGATCGCAAGATCGATGGATTGTTAGATCGTTAGATTGCTAGATCGTTAGATCATTAGATCGCAAGATCGTTAGATCGCCACCTCGTTAGATCCCTAGATCAATGGATCGTTAGATCGTTAGATCTTTAGATCGTTAGATCGCTAGATCGATGGATCGTTAGATCGTTAGATTGCAAGATCGTTAGATCGTTAGATCGCTAGATCGTTAGATCGCAACCTCGTTAGATCCCTAGATCGATGGATCGTTAGATCTTTAGATCGTTAGATCGCTGGATCGATGGACTAATTAATCGTTAGATCGCTAGATCGCTATATCGCTAGATCGATGGATCGCTAGATTGTTAGATGACTAGATCGTTAGATCGTTCGATCGCTAGATCGATGGATCGTTAGATCTGTAGATCCCTATATCGTTACATCGCTAGATCGTTGGATCGTTAGATCGTTAGATCGGTAGATCGTCAGATCGCTAGATCGATGGATCGTTAGATCGTTAGATCGCTAGATCGATGGATCGTTAGGTCGTTCAATCGCTAGATCGTTAGATCGTTAGATCGCTCCCTCGTTAGATCCCTAGATCGATGGATCGTTAGACCGTTAGATCGCTACTTCGATGGAACCTTAGATCGTTAGATCGTTAGATCGCTAGATCGTTAGATCGTTAGATCGCTTCCTCGTTAGATCCCTAGATCGATGGATCGTTAGACCGTTAGATCGCTACTTCGATGGAATCTTAGATCGTTATATCGCTAAATCCATGGATCGCTAGATTGTTAGATCCCTAGATCGTTAGATCGTTAGATCGTTAGATCGCTAGATCGGTAGATCGTTAGATCCCTAGATCAATGGATCGTTAGATCGCTATATCGTTAGATCACTAGATCGTTGGATCAGTAGATCGTTGGATCGCTAAACCGTTAGATCGCTAGATCGATGGATCGTTAGATCGTTACATCGCTAGATCGATGTATCGTTAGATCTTTACATTGCTAGATCGTTAGATCGCCACCTCGTTAGATCCCTAGATCGATGGATGGTTAGATCACTAGGTCGATGGATCCTTAGATCGTTAGATCGCTGGATCGATGGACCGATTGATTGTTAGATCGTTAGATTGCTATATCGTTACATCGCTAGATAGTTGGATCGTCAGATCGTTAGATCGCTAGGTCGATGGATCCTTAGATCGTTAGATCCCTGGATCGATGGACTGATTGATCGTTAGATCGTTAGATCCTTAGATTCCTATATTGTTACATCGCTAGATCGTTGGATCGTTAGATCGTTCGATCGTTAGATCGCTAGATCGTTACGTCGTTAGATCGCCACTTCGTTAGATCCTTAGATCGATGGATCGTTAGAGCGTTAGATCGCTACTTCGATGGAATCTTAGATCGTTATATCGCTAGATCCATGGATCGCTAGATCGTTAGATCGTTAGATCGCTAGATCGGTAGATCGTTAGATCCCTAGATCAATGGATCGTTAGATCGCTATATCGTTAGATCACTAGATAGTTGGATCGGTAGATCGTTGGATCGCTAGACCGTTAGATCGCTAGATCGATGGATCGTTAGATGGTTAGATCGCTAGATCGTTAGATCGTTAGATCGGTAGATCGTTAGATCGCCACCTGGTTAGATCCCTATATGGATGGTTAGATCGCTAGGTCGATGGATCGCTAGGTCGATGGATCCTTAGATCGTTAGATCGCTGGATCAATGGACCGATTGATTGTTAGATCGTTAGGTCGTTAGCTTGCTATATCGTTACATCGCTAGATAGTTGGATCGTTAGATCGTTAGATCGCTAGGTCGATGGATCCTTAGATCGCTAGATCGCTGGATCAATGGACCGATTGATTGTTAGATCGTTAGGTCGTTAGCTTGCTATATCGTTACATCGCTAGATAGTTGGATCGTTAGATCGTTAGATCGCTAGGTCGATGGATCCTTAGATCGTTAGATCCCTGGATCGATGGACTGATTGATCGTTAGATCGTTAGATCCTTAGATTGCTATATCGTTACATCGCTAGATCGTTGGATCGTTCGATCGTTAGATCGCTAGATCGTTAGATCGTTAGATCGCCACTTCCTTAGATCCTTAGATCGATGGATCGTTAGAGCGTTAGATCGCTAGGTCGATGGATCCTTAGATCGTTAGATCGCTACATCGATGGACTGATTGATCGTTAGATCGCTAGATCGTTATATCGCTAGATCGATGGATCGTTAGATCGTTAGATTGGTAGATCGTTAGATCGTTAGATCGCCACCTCGTTAGATCCCTAGATCGATGGATCGTTAGATCGTTAGATCGCTAGGTCGATGGATCCTTAGATCGTTAGATCTTTAGATCGTTAGATCGCTTGGTCGTTAGATCGCTGGATCGATGGATCGCTAGATTGTTAGATCGCTAGATCGTTAGATCGCTAGATCGTTAGATTGCTACATCGTTAGATCGCCACCTCGTTAGATCCCTAGCTGGATGGATCATTAGATCGTTAGATGGCTAGATCGATAGATCGCTGGATCGATGGACTAATTGATCGTTAGATCGCTAGATCGTTATATCCCTAGATGGATGGATCGCTAGATTGTTAGATGACTAGATCGTTAGATCGTTAGATCGCTAGATCGATGGATCGTTAGATCTTTAGATCGGTATATCGTTACATCGCTAGATCCTTGGATCGTTAGATCGCTCCACCGTTAGATCCCTAGATCGATGGATCGTTAGATCGTTAGATCGCTACTTCAATGGAATCTTAGATGGTCAGATCGCTGGATCGATGGACTGATTGATCGTTAGATGGCTAGATCGTTATATCGCTAGATCAATGGATCGCTAGATTGTTAGATCGCTAGATCGTTAGATCGTCAGATCGCTAGATCGCTAGATCGTTAGATCGCTAGATCAATGGATCTTTAGATCGCTATATCGTTAGATCACTAGATCGTTGGATCAGTAGATCGTTGGATCGCTAAACCGTTAGATCGCTAGATCGATGGATCGTTAGATCGTTACATCGCTAGATCGATGTATCGTTAGATCTTTACATTGCTAGATCGTTAGATCGCCACCTCGTTAGATCCCTAGATCGATGGATGGTTAGATCGCTAGGTCGATGGATCCTTAGATCGTTAGATCGCTGGATCGATGGACCGATTGATTGTTAGATCGTTAGATCGTTAGATTGCTATATCGTTACATCGCTAGATAGTTGGATCGTTAGATCGTTAGATCGCTAGGTCGATGGATCCTTAGATCGTTAGATCCCTGGATCGATGGACTGATTGATCGTTAGATCGTTAGATCCTTAGATTGCTATATTGTTACATCGCTAGATCGTTGGATCGTTAGATCGCTAGATCGTTACGTCGTTAGATCGCCACTTCGTTAGATCCTTAGATCGATGGATCGTTAGAGCGTTAGATCGCTAGGTCGATGGATCCTTAGATCGTTAGATCGCTACATCGATGGGTTGATTGATCGTTAGATCGCTAGATCGATAGATCGCTAGATTGTTAGATCGCTAGATCGTTACATCGCTAGATCGATGGATCGTTAGATCGTTAGATTGCTAGATCGTTAGATCGTTAGATCACTAGATCGTTAGATCGCCACCTCGTTAGATCGTTAGATCGTTAGATCGCAAAATCGATGGATCCTTAGATCGTTAGATCTTTAGATCGTCAGATCGCTTGATCGTTAGATCGCTGGATCGATGGATCGCTAGATTGTTAGATCGCTAGATCGTTAGATCGTTAGATCGCTAGATCGTTAGATCGCTAGATCGTTAGATCGCTAGATCGTTAGATCGCTAGATTGTTAGATTGCTACATCGTTAGATCGCCACCTCGTTAGATCCCTAGATTAATGGATCGTTAGATCGTTAGATGGCTGGATCGATAGATCGCTGGATCGATGGACTAATTGATCGTTAGATCGCTAGATCGTTATATCCCTAGATCGATGGATCGCTAGATTCTTAGATGACTAGATCGTTAGAACGCAACCTTGTTAGATCGCTAGATCGATGGATCGTTAGATCGCTGGATCGATGGACTAATTAATCGTTAGATCGCTAGATCGTTATATCGCTAGATCGATGGATCGCTAGATTGTTAGATGACTAGATCGTTAGATCGCTAGATCGATGGATCGTTAGATCTTTAGATCCCTATATCGTTACATCGCTAGATCGTTGAATCGTTAGATCGTTAGATCGTTAGATCGTTAGATCGGTAGATCGTTAGATCGCTAGATCGATGGATCGTTAGATCGTTAAATCGCTAGATCGTTAGATCGCTCCCTCGTTAGATCCCTAGATCGATGGATCGTTAGACCGTTAGATCGCTACTTCGATAGAATCTTAGATCGTTAGATCTTTAGATCGTTAGATCGTTAGATCGCTCCCTCGTTAGATCCCCAGAGCGATGGATCGTTAGACCGTTAGATCGCTACTTCGATGGAATCTTAGATCGTTATATCGCTAGATCCATGGATCGCTAGATTGTTAGATCGCTAGATCGTTAGATCGTTAGATCGCTAGATCGGTAGATCGTTAGATCCCTAGATCAATGGATCGTTAGATCGCTATATCGTTAGATCACTAGATCGTTGGATCGGTAGATCGTTGGATCGCTAGACCGTTAGATTGCTAGATCGATGGATCGTTAGATCGTTAGATCGCTAGATCGATGTATCGTTAGATCGTTAGATCGGTAGATCGTTAGATCGCCACCTGGTTAGATCCCTATATGGATGGTTAGATCGCTAGGTCGATGGATCGCTAGGTCGATGGATCCTTAGATCGTTAGATCGCTGGATCAATGGACCGATTGATTGTTAGATCGTTAGGTCGTTAGCTTAATATATCGTTACATCGCTAGATAGTTGGATCGTTAGATCGCTAGGTCGATGGATCCTTAGATCGTTAGATCCCTGGATCGATGGACTGATTGATCGTTAGATCGTTAGATCCTTAGATTGCTATATCGTTACATCGCTAGATCGTTGGATCGTTGGATCGTTTAATCGTTAGATCGCTAGATCGTTAGATCGTTAGATCGCCACTTCCTTAGATCCTTAGATCGATGGATCGTTAGAGCGTTAGATCGCTAGGTCGGTGGATCCTTAGATCGTTAGATCGCTACATCGATGGACTGATTGATCGTTAGATCGCTAGATCGTTATATCGCTACATCAATGGATCGTTGGATCGTTAGATTGGTAGATCGTTAGATCGTTAGATCGCCACCTCGTTAGATCCCTAGATCGATGGATCGTTAGATCGTTAGATCGCAAGGTCGATGGATCCTTAGATCGTTAGATCTTTAGATCGTTAGATCGCTTGGTCGTTAGATCGCTGGATCGATGGATCGCTAGATTTTTAGATCGCTAGATCGTTAGATCGCTAGATCGTTAGATTGCTACATCGTTAGATCGCCACCTCGTTAGATCCCTAGCTCGATGGATCGTTAGATCGTTAGATGGCTAGATCGATAGATCGCTGGATCGATGGACTAATTGATCGTTAGATCGCTAGATCGTTATATCCCTAGATCGATGGATCGCTAGATTGTTAGATGACTAGATCGTTAGATCGTTAGATCGCGAGATCGATGGATCGTTAGATCTTTAGATCGGTATATCGTTACATCGCTAGATCCTTGGATCGTTAGATCGCTCCATCGTTAGATCCCTAGATCGATGGATCGTTAGATCGTTAGATCGCTACTTCAATGGAATCTTAGATGGTTAGATCGGTGGATCGATGGACTGATTGATCGTTAGATGGCTAGATCGTTATATCGCTAGATCCATGGATCGCTAGATTGTTAGATCGCTAGATCGTTAGATCGTCAGATCGCTAGATCGCTAGATCGTTAGATCGCTAGATTAATGGATCTTTAGATCGCTATATCGTTAGATCACTAGATCGTTGGATCGGTAGATTGTTGGATCGTTAGATCGCTAGATCGTTAGATCGTTAGATCGCCACTTCGTTAGATCGCTAGATCGACGGATCGTTAGAGCGTTAGATTACTAGGTCGATGGATCCTTAGATCGTTAGATTTTTAGATCGTTAGGTCGCTGGATCGATGGATTAATTGATCGTTAGATCGCTAGATCGTTTTATCGCTAGATCGATGGATCGCTAGATTGTTAGATCGCTAGATCGATGGATCGTTAGATCGTTAGAGTGCTAGATAATTAGATCGTTAGATCGCAAGGTCGATGGACCCTTAGATCGTTAGATCGCTGCATCAATGGATCGCTAGATTGTTAGATCGCTATATCTTTAGATCGTTAGATTGCTAGATCGTTAGATGGCCACCTCGTTAGATCCTTAGATCGATGGATCGTTAGATCGCTAGCTCGATGGATCCTTAGATCGCTACATCGTTGGACTGATTGATCGTTAGATCGTTAGATCGTTCGATCACTATATCGTTACATCGCTAGATCGTTGGATCGTTAGATCGTTAGATCGCTAGATCGTTAGATCGTTAGATCGCTAGGTCGTTAGATCGTTAGATCGCCACCTCGTTAGATCCCTAGATCGATTGATCGTGAGATCGCTAGGTCGATGGATCCTTAGATCGTTCGATCTTTAGATCGTTCGATCGCTAGATCGTTAGATCGCTGGATCGATGGACTGATTGATCGTTAGATCGCTAGATCGTTATATCGCTAGATCGATGGATCGCTAGATTGTTAGATCGCTAGATCGTTAGATTGTTAGATCGCGAGATCGCTAGATTGTTAGATCGCTAGATCGATGGATCGTTAGATCGCTAGATCGTTGGATCGTTAGATCGCTGGATCGCCAGATCGTTAAATCGCTACATCGATGGATAGTTACATCGTTAGATCGCTAGATCGATGTATCGTTAGATCTTTAGATCGCCATCTCGTTAGATCCCTAGATCGATGGATCGTTAGATCGTTAGAGCGCAAGGTCGATGGATCCTTAGATCGTTAGATCTTTAGATCGTTAGATCGCTGGATCAATGGATCGCTAGATTGTTAGATCGCTAGATCGTTAGAAAGTTAGATCGCTAGATCGTTAGATCGCTACATCGTTAGATTGCTAGATCGTTAGATCGCCACCTCGATAGATCCCTAGATCGATGGATCGTTAGATCGCTAGGTCGATGGATCTTTAGATCGTTAGATCGCTGGATCGATGGAGTGATTGATCGTTAGATGGTTAGATAGTTAGATCGCTATATCGTTACATCGCTAGATCGTTGGATCGTTAGATCGCTAGATCGTTAGATCGCTAGATAGTTAGATCGTTAGATTGCCACCTCGTTAGACCCCTAGATCGACGGATCGTGATATCGCTAGGTCGATGGGATCAGTTTAGTTTTCTGGGCAACCGAGCTCGATACGAGTTTATCGAGCTCCATATGTCAACCGGCCTCGATTTGTCGATACCGAGCTCGAGGCCTCTCACTTTTCCGGGGGGACAAAGTAAAAATGGTTATCGAACTCGATGACTTATCGAGCCCGATGACTTATCGAGCTCGGTGACCTATCGAGCTCGGTGACTTATCGAGCTCGGTTTTTCAAGAGAAGAAAAAGAGAGAAAAATAGAAATTAAAGCAATAATAACCACATGGAGTACAAAATCTAAAACGCCTTCTCGTTCTCAATTCGTTACGGACAAAAAACATTGTGTGGCTGGTCGATTAATGTTGTTTTGGCGGAGAGTCT